AAATTCAATGCATTATGGTTTGTAAAAAGTACATATTGAGTGCTTTTTGTCTAACTTCAAAACACAACAATATAACAACTTTTGTACTAAATTTTAGTGCATTTTTCCATTAAATGACATTGGAAATATTGTAATATATGTAATATTGTATACATGTATATTTGATGTGCGAGAGAGAGAGAGAGAGAGAGAGAGAGAGAGAGATTTGAATTGTTTTGATTTGAATTAAGGTAATTCCTTAAATAATATGACTAGAATAACCTTGCCCGGGTAGATGTATAAATATTTTTTTACTTTTACCATTGAAATCCTTACATAACCCTATTGTACTAGATTTTATATTAATTATTGAAATTACTTTATTTACATGATTTATAAAAATATAACTTATTGCACTAATTATTATAGACAAAAAGTAAAATAATTGTTAAATAAAATATTTAAATTAAAAAAATATAATTTAATATTTAGTTTTACTAAATATTTATTGATATTATTACTTGATTAATTGCAAATTCAACTGTTTAAATGTTAAAAATTAATTTAAATTATCTGAAAATTGTATATAGATTGTAATTAAGATATCAATATTAATAAAATACAGAATATCCATGTATTTGACTGTAAATGTTGTCGTATAGATGCTAAACCTGTATAAAATAATTTTATTAAATGGTCGTAAAATGTACAAAAAAAACTTTTCGTTTAAATCATAAATAATATTATAAATATATAATCATTAATATTTGTTTTCAGTAAAAGAATACTTATATTTGTTTTATAATCTCTTTAAAGTTAAAACTTTATATGAATTGAATTTAATCAGTTATTTAAAAATTGTGTTACAAAATTATTTTACAATTATTTGTTATTAATTTTAAATATAAAAAATTATTAGTTAAATAGTAATTTAAAAATAAACTAGTATGTTTTGTAGAAAAATACATTCAAACGAGAAAGCAGTTTTAATTACAGGTACAGGAATCATTGTACTGTATAAGTGAATATTCATATTTCAATTATTATTTTCAAATAACCAAAAATTAAATATCAAATAAAAATACAATAATTATATTTTTTAAATTAAAAATTAAATAATGAATATCTAAATATTAATTGTCATAAAATAGGCTGTGATTCTGGTTTCGGTAATCGTTTGGCCTTTAGGTTAAACTCAATGGGATTTCGAGTCTATGCGTGTGTTTTGGACACAAACAGTACCGGAGCTCAAGATCTGAGCAATAAATGCCAGTTTAAGGACGAGATATGTATTGTGCGAATGGATGTCACTATCGATGAGGACATCGATTGGTGTCACGAGTTTGTTGTCGCGGATCTACAGACCAGTGGCCGTGTGTTGTGGTCAGTGGTCAACAACGCCGGTGTTATGACATACGGGCACTTAGAATGGGGTAGATTTTCACAATACACTAAAGTGTTTGATGTGAACGTGTTTGGTGTGGTTCGGGTGACCAGAAAATTCATACCACTTATACGAGAGTCAAAAGGTATGTCATTTTCATGATTTTGTATTACTTGAAACATTATAAACCTATTATTTGAAATAGATTCATTTGAATTACATTTAATGTGCAATTTTTAATTTTAAAAACAAACTTTAAATTATATTTTTTTAAAATATAACAAAAAATTTAAATATTATAACTATTATTAAAAACAACTAGTCTTGTATTACTAATACCCAATGTCTAGTATAAGTTAACAAATATTAAACTCCATTAATATTTTAAAAAACAATTTACAGCTTGTATATTTTTTTTAATTTACTTATTATAATTAAATAATTACATAATTATAAACATTTTTATATAAAATTTTTTTATGTTAAAGTGCGACAATAATTTAATGTAATCCATATATGTTTAATCCATTGCAACTGTTAAATATTTAACTAATTATATAAAGATATATAACTCAACTAAATTAATAAAGTAAATAAAAATATGATTAAACTAGGCCGGTTAGTGTTCACCACGGCTCAGGCGGGTCGAGTGGCGTACGACAATCTCGGCGTGTATTGTATGTCCAAAGCGGCGATCATAGCGTTCACCGATGTTTTGCGGCGAGAGATGCGACCCTTTGGGGTCCGGGTGTCGACCGTAGAGCCCCTTATATTCAAGACAGTTATGGTTGGTTTGGGTGAACACGAGATCAGCAAGAATTGGTCAGAAACGGATCCGCCGGTGCGGGAAGTCTACGGCCAGGCCTACTACGAGCGCCAGATTAAAATTGTCAACTTTTTATTGTTGATTACGAGGCCTAATAAAAATTTGGATATTGTTGCCGATGATATGGTGGACGCGGTGGCCAGTCGTCGGCCCAATAAGTACTACACTCCGGTCAATCGGTGGTGGCTTAACGGCTATCACCGTCTACTTCGCATAACACCGCAATGTTTTATCGACTATTTGTTTAGTAAGCTTAATTCAACAAAACCTGCTTTTATGAAGAATAATTATGTTTAAATGATGTTAATTAAATAATTTTTTGTATTATCTTTGAGTTGTTGTAAATATTGAGTTGTTTAATATAAACAATATAAAATCTATTATTTTATGAACACGGTCATTTTTGTTTAAAAAATAACTTCAGGTTCAATACACTTCACGTACCACTTGTTCACAATTTGCTTTTAACTGAATTACGGCTGAGAGAGTAGTTTAGTGCTCTCTCAGACATGTCCACTGAGACCGGGCAACCGAGTTGTCTGACTGACACGTAAAAAATTGTTACCCAAAATAAAACAATTAATTAAAAATTTATTTAAATGACTGTACTAAAAATTAACATTAATTGAGTACGTGGCTTTTATGAATAACCGTGGTTATTTTCATCTAGATATTATTTTATTAAAATAGTTTTTTATAAAAAAAAATTTAATAAATTGATTGCCAAATAAAATATATGCATATGAATATTTATTTATTTTAATTTAAAATTTATTAATGCAAATCATGACATTCTTATATGCTGAATAAATTAAAATTAACCAAAATGTCTATATATTGTAATTTAGTTGCTAATGTAGTATTTAAAATTTTAAATAATAAATTTTATTGTACATTTTGTAAAACCGGTTGTTTATAAAGATAAACCATAAAATGTGAATATTAGTAATTTTTCAATAAATTTAAGTTTTAATGATTTAAAAAATAGTCAATAATTTCCTTGTAGTAAAAGTATTTGAGTTTATATTATATTGTTGTCTAAATTTTATGTGTTTTAAAATTAATACGTTTTATTTTATACATCTTTAAAAATATAAGGTCAAAGTTACTATGTTTTGGAAAAAAATATTATCAAAAGGGAAAGCAGTTTTAATTACAGGTAAACCATTATTATATATATAACTTAATATACTTTATACTCATCTGCATAAATATATGATTATTGCTTACATTTTTTTAAAATTAAAATATAATAACAAAAATATTAAAATAAAACATTATTAAAATAGGCTGCGATTCTGGTTTCGGTAATCGTTTGGCTTTTAAGTTAAACTCAAAGGGATTTCGAGTCTATGCGTGTGTTTTGGACACAGAGAGTACCGGAGCTCAGGATCTGAGCAATAAATGCCAGTTTAAGGACGAGATATGTATTGTGCGAATGGATGTCACTATAGATGAGGACATCGATCGGTGCCACGAGTTTGTTGTCGCGGATCTACAGACCAGTGGCCGCGTGTTGTGGTCAGTTGTCAACAACGCCGGTGTTGCGACATATGGACACTTAGAATGGGGTAAATTTTCACAATACACTAAATTGTTTGATGTGAACGTGTTTGGTGTGGTTCGGGTGACCAGAAAATTCATACCACTTATACGCCAATCAAAGGGTATGTCATTTGTAGAATTTGATAAATTGTGTTTTTATTTCTACTTGTAACTTTATTTTTAATCCCTTATTGTGGTTTATAGAATTACCTCACTTTTTTTTATTTATTACTTTAGAAAATAACATGTTTAATTATTACTTAATTTAATAACTATCAGGCTATAAATTTAATATAACATTGCTATATTACTATTTATTATAATATAATTTATATAACTTAATTTAACAATATTATAAAGATAAACAATGATATATTCTAAAATGCATTTAAAATGTATAAAATTCATTATTGTTTATTATTAAGGTCGATTTGTAATCACGGCTAGTATGGGCGGTCGCATTGCTATCGATAATCTCGGTATATATTGCATGACCAAATCTGCGATCATAGCGTTCAGCGATGTATTGCGCCGAGAGATGCGACCTTTTGGGGTCCGGGTGTCGACCGTAGAGCCCATGCTATTCAAGACAGCGATGTATGACATCGTGAAGCCGGAGCTCAACAAAAATTGGTCACAAACGGAGGGTCAGGTGCGGGAGGCCTACGGACAGCCATACTTTGAGCAACAGTTTAAAACCGTTGACTTTCTACTGACAATAGCGATGGGCAGTAAAAAGCTAGACATTGTTGTGGACGATATGGTGGCGGCTATTGTCAGCCGTCGGCCCAACCGGTGTTATCAACCGGCCAATCGGTGGCTGTATAATGTATTTCCTACCTTAGTCTATTTAGCGCCTCAATGGACTATTGATCTGATTTTCAGTTCTGTTCAGACAACAAAACCCTCATATGTAGTGCAAAATGCAAATCAAATTAAGCATGATAATGTCTAATAATAGTTAGTTCTATGTTGAAATTTTAAACATTGTATTAATTAAATAAAAATTTTATATAAACTATTTACAATTATATAAACAATTATAAACAAAAAATTTTAAGAATATTTATCGTTTAATTATATAATAAGAAATTGTTATAATAGAGATAAAAGTGAAATAAATTTTTAAATAAAATCACCAAAGTTTGTGAAATGTTCAGTGTTAATTATTGCAATTTATAAACATAAACCAAAATAAATTTATAACAATTACATAAATTTAAATACTGTATTTATTTCTCATGACTGAACCTAATGTTTGTTATATTTGGGAAGTCTTAAGTGAACTTCAAGTCGGACCAACTCTTGGCTCAATTGCCACAACTGTTCCGCACTTTTGTCGTCAGTAGCCGTCGACACCATATCATCCACTCGTCGACAATTGCTATACAATTAAATCATAATTAATAACAATAAAAACAATTAAACGTCCCGTTAATTAAAACACAATTACAATATTAACCTGTAATAAAAGCCCGACTCATTATCCAACGCCTCCTCGAGGGCGCAGTAGAGGGTTGTCTGACAGCCCCTCTCGACCGACAACTGAAACGGCTTTCCGATCACATGTAACCCAAATGCCAACAATCGTGAGCCGCTGTTACGGTCCCAATCGGTGGCCACCGCTCCGGGATGGAGGCTATAGGCTGTGACAGTGCTGTGATAGCCCAGTCGACGGGCCAACTCCCTGGTGAACAACACGTTGGCCAGTTTGCTCTGCGTATAACCCGTGAGTGAATTGTAGACACCGGCAGTCCGTAGGTTTATGTCGTTAAAGTGAATCTCTCCTAACCGGTGGACAATCGACGACAGGGTAACTACTCGTGCTTTGATTGGCTTTCTTAACAACGGTAATAGCGATAGGGTTAATAGGAAATGACCTGAAAATGTTATGAAGGTGGCTTTTATATTTATTGAATGTGGGTAATATAACGCTGCTTTATACCCAGATGATTTGTCCCAAATTGCAGTTCATAGCCATCGACGGTCTGAGACTCCGGTACGAGACAAACGCCCGCATTGTTTATAAGTATATCTACTTTTGTCTCCCGTTTCGTGATTTCGGTCACGAATTGACGGACGGATTGAAGTGAAGACAAGTCTAACGGAAGTGAATATATGTCTGCCTTTGGGTTCCTT